TTTTTTTATTTAATGCACATCGAATATTAATCTGATTTGTGGAAATGGTTGCCAAAATTTCCTCATCTGTATATCATCTAAATTAATTAATGGTATCTTTCCTATTTGGTAGGGAATAGAATTATCTATACTATGAAGGAAACTTTTAATTTTAGGTCTTAATTAAGTGCTCTACCAATGTTTGTAAAGACACCCTCTTTAATTCCATTACAAATGGAGATGTTAAACAATATACATAACACCAGATTATATGTACAAATAGAGATTATATATAGATACAAAGCTCCAATTAAAAGAGTCATTTTGATTCTAGAATTAGGTTAACGTATGCCCTGACGTTAAGAATATACACGAAATCATTAATTAACAATTGGTTTAAAAAATGGGTTATGTCAATAATTAAAGAGTGAATCTTGGTTGTCCAGACTTAAATGAATGATATAGATAGAGTTCAGCTTAAAATATAGAGACATATACATATAGGGTAGTTATCAAGGATGTGACTTGATGCCAATAATGATACACCAAGAATTATTAAAAACAATGACGGGTGCTACAAGGCATGATCTCATAACATACCCAGAAAGATACATGATAGTTTCTTTTTTTTAATTTCATATTTAATTGATTGGGAAGCTTAGAAACAAAAATAACTTGATTATGCAAACCAATTAATAGCTTAATTATTAATCTAATTTTTACTTTTGGTACGTAGCTAGTCTTAACTTGGGAGATTTCCTAGGAATTCTATCTTCCATGGATTAATAATATCAGCAGGTTGTAGATTTCACTTTGTTAGCGGCCATAAACTTTACCTGATATGGCAATTCTTCTGTTAGTTTTCTTTTTCTTTTAATTAGAGCTCGAAATTAGAATACCACTCCCTTACCACTTGAGCTAAGTCCAAGTGGCAACCCTCATCATATCTTTTGACCAAAGATGCTGCACTCTTTAAACTTTTAATGACTGATGAATGAGCATATGCCACGAGAGTAGCCCTCCAAACACTCCAGGGCTACTAGAGCAGGAGCGTGGTTAAGAGCTCTATCAAATGATTTTGGTAAAGTTGAGACAATCAATCAATTCTCCAATATACTTAAGATCTTGACTAGGAAAGGAAGATCATTATTAGCAACGCCTTTATGCCACTTTGGACATCACAAATGTCTCCAACTAATTTTCATAGTTGTTCTGTTATTGAAAAGGAAAAGAAAAACTCAAGGAAAATAAATTAAAAAAAAAATCATTGGCAGGGCATTTTGTAGTCAATCAAGATGGGCTATAGCTGCTCCCATGCTGCTACAGATTTATGAACAGATGCTCAATTTGAGATATTAAGCTCGTTGCTTTTATGACACAATCAGCACTTACAAGATAGGATTGTTTTATAGAATTGAGGTCCTTGCACTAATGATCAAATGTAGAATATTTTTTATGTAATAACCCAATGATACATTTAGAAAAATTCAATCAAATATTACAGCTCCTTATGGAGAATAGCTGTTTGCCTGTTATTGTTGTCTGAGCTCAACTAGCGGACATCTTTGTTGAAACAACTTGAGGGGATTTTCTGCTCCCTGAATAAGTAGTGAAGATATTTCCTTTTTGCTGGATTTACCGGCACATTTAAGCATCTGAGATTTCTTTCGTTGGAGAAAGGGAGGATCCTTTTGAATTATAAGGCATATGGCATCAAGGAAATGTATCAATAAGACATCATTCTTTGTAAAAATCATTAGCAGATTGATTAGCTAGCCTTCCTGGTCTTCTTCTGGCTTGTCATATAAGTCGGTCATGATTGATTTAGTAGTTATCAGAATTTCAGTTGGTGTTAGCCAGAAATCCCAATAGGCAGATGCATGCTAATGACAAAAGCAACACCACTTCATCAAATTCACCTCCTAATGTGCTTTAAAGTGGCTGAAACTCTCAAAAGGCCAAAGCTAGTATTTTCCCTTTGGAGAATGATGGATGATTTCATTAAACTTCTAAAATTATATCATAAATACCTGCCCAACTTTCTTTTTATTTTATATTTATTGGACCTTAGGGCTTACATGGGAATCTTGGTTTGGTTTAGTCCAGTAGAGAATCCATTATTTGGTGGGTCATTGGGGCATGTTCCTCCAAGAAAAAAAAGTTCTGATAAGGTCAAATTGTCTGCATGAATTATGGACAGAAATGTGAAAGTACTATTTGTAAGTTAAAGCTTCTTTTGTTGTTTTGGAAACTGTTGATGGTGGTGGTGGTGGAGATGATGGTGGGGAATGGAAATGGTGGTTGTGAGTGATATCTTGAAAGCTCTGCATTTCATTTCTGAAATCAAGAGAAATGCTGGTTTCCTATAAATGGGAAAAGATTCTGCCAAAAGCCAAGGGAGCTGTTCTTACGGATCTGGAATGTGAAAAAAGCGGTGGTGGAGCTTTAGATATGCCTCTCAATGGCTAAGTCTAGTCTTGTCCCTTTCTTTGGGCAGCAGGAAGGGACCCCTACCAGCACTTTAACTGAATCACATTGAAGCAGCATCATTCACTCTTCTCAAAGAGAGATGGGGGAGATCAGCATTCAGCAAAACTTTACTTGGAGTGCTAAAACAGGTCCACAAAGTCATAGATGCCATTTGCTGCCATTTCTCCTGTATATACTAATATTTAATATCCAGCAGCATTGCAACCTGTTTATAATTTTCAAGATAAAAAAAATTGCAAGACGTTGCCATTTGAAGTCTATAATTATTACAAACATCAAATAAGACTTGGCCATGCTTACACTTGGTGCTACCACCAATCATACACTCAACTTAGAGCAACCAACAAGAAGGGATTACGGTGACCTAGAATTGCAGCACATACTAGGTTAGGATGCCATCATGTTGAGCAGTAACTCCGATGACTGAATACATACATTCATACATGTATATATATGTGTGTGCTTGCCCTGTTTTGATGTACTTAAATTATTGGCTGCAGCATTGGTTAATGATGAAGGATAAGAATATCAGGTCATATATACGACCATTAGAGGAAGTATCAACCATCAATTCATACAAGGAAATTGGAGAATTTGGATGGATACATGAAACTATGTCAGTTCCACCCACCATCAATTAATTACATCAATCAGAACCTCACAGCATACCAGACAGTTTTTGACTAATTGTCATTAGGCTTAGGCCTATGTCAAGTATTAATAGTGGTGACTCATATGAAAATAATGCAACCAACGATCCTGGTGGTTCTGCCTTAGAATGAAATCAATTCTGCAAAAAGAGTATAGATGGTATTTCTTCCAAATGCTTAGAGAGAGATACGTAGTTTTCCAAACAGTTACAGTAGTTTACTCCCTCTAAACTTTGAATCTGTGCCATAGTAGTAGGTGCCTCAGCTCAGAACTAAGGCAGGCCAAAGACGCTTAATTTTCAACACGTAATATTGGAACAGAAAATCTCTTTATATATTCTCAAGAATATGAAATCGTTTTTAGGAGCTGAGTGAGTTGGTAGCGATTCGCAATTTAAGCATATTGTAATACTTGTAATGCAAAAAGCTCTTACAAGAAAAGGTTGGCTGATTGAAAGCTGCGACTGCAAGTTGTTCTCATTGAGCACAATAAAGTGGGTGGATTCGATGTGTTATCTTCAAAATCCAAATGAACTTTTAATAGTGGAAGCAATGCCTTCACTTTTGCTTCTACTGTCACTAATGAATCATGAATATTCTTCCCCATTGAAAATACGGCATATATATATATAGATTTTTCTCATGTCCTGTAGTTTTCGTTTCACTTTTTTTTTTTTTTTGGGGATCTTTTTCACTAGCTCTCAAGCAAACAAAAAGATTGATTGATCCACACTCATAGATGAATGCAAGTACACCCTAGTTGATATCACTAGCTAGTTAAAGGATCCAACAGGAAAAAGGGCTTTGATTTCTCCATATTATATTCCATACGGTCTGCCAATTACGCAAAAATCACATTGTTTTCGCTAATCAAAAGCCGGATAAATGTCAAGTGAGGTATGCCATGATTGATGCAGCTGAGCTGATGGAATGGAAAAGTGATGAAAAAAGAGAGAAAAAAAATCTCAACACAGTGTAGTATTGCACACAACAGCACAAGTCACCATCTTCCATCACTTTCTTTCATTAATTTCTCCACAAAGAGCAAAAGGTTTGATCAAGACACAAAGTATTCAGCCCCAACCCAGAGAAAATCAAGAAAAGCAACTCCCAAGTGGCGTTTGTCGGGTTCCCAGGTGTTCCGGGTGGATTGAGTTGTCAATTCAGGGATGTGAAACAATCTGTGAAAATGCAAAGGAACCATATCACATGGACTTGATTTCTACCCTTCCGGGGATGTGACTAACAAGTTCATCCCATTTTCACCGCCAACACTAGTTTTTCTTTCTTTTTCTTTTCCTGATAACTAAGAAAAAAAAAATTTAGCTGCATGCTTTCACAGCATATAATGAGATTCCTGAAAAGGTTTGCTTGTTAGGAGTGTGATGAGGATGCAACTTTGGTGTTGTGCTTGTCCCGCATGCTTAATTATGGACAAATGCTATTGTTCAGACTAGCCAACGCACCCGCTTTTCACAATTCGGATTATCCGAAATCAATAATTTTTGACCCCATACAGCCTTAACGCCCTAAAACTGTATCTTGGCAATTTCTTTTTATAAAATCTTAGTGTTGCTATACTCATTTCCATTTTTGGCAGCCCATTCTTCTTTGATCAAATAGTCATTAATTAAATTTGTTATCTTTGTACAATAATAACAATGTTGTTTATAATAAAGTTTCAATAATACTGCCAACATCTTTTATGCACACCAAAGCATGACACTGGGTTTCGGGCTTAGGCCCAAGCTTGATGAAGCTTCCATATTGGACCCAAGCTCAAGCCCACGATTCCGCCCCGAAGAGAGACGCGTTAAGCCCCATCCTGTTTTCAATTAAGTGTTATCCGCTTGCCAGCTAAGCTGTCACTTTTCAAAATGCTCTCTCCATTTTTTCAAATTTCTTAAAACTAACACGACTAAAGGGCAAAATGGCGGGAATTGATCCATCAAAAAATCTCCTTTCTCTAATCCGTGACTTCGCTTATGAGAAATCTCAAGGAGGTAATTATTTCTGAATATATTTCTGTTTGATTTCCAAGAAAATGTAGGAAAAGAAACGGAAACAAAATTAAAATATTCAACTCAAAGCTTTTTTCACTTCTTTTTCTGTATTTTCGTTGCCAAATAAACGAGAGTTTTGTATTGGAGTGGACATGTACAGAGAGAAGAGTGGCTAGCTTAACGAAACAAGTCGAAGAGCTACGATCACAGTTTGAAGTAGCGAATTCGGAATTTAAAGACGTGAAACGTTTGAAAGAAGCAACTGAGCAAGAGCTTAAAGGCTTCGAAGTTGAATTAGCTTTGAACGAAACTTTGATTCGAGCAGTAGAGGTTCGTTAGATTTCGATTCATTTTTAAAAATTTGACTAATTTTGTTTCAAATTGGTTTTTTTAAAAAATTTTAAAACCATTTGCAGGCCAGGATTGCTCTGATTCAAGATGAAATATTCAAAGTTGGATCTGAAATAGAGGAGCTTAAGGTACTGAAAACTTCAATTTTAAGATTTGTGATTGTCTAAATTATGATTAATTTTTGTTTTTGTACGCATTAAATTTTTATCTGAAAATTTTGCATGCATTATGTGAAGAATAAAGAAGCAACATTAAGGTAAAAAAATAACCTATTTTCATTTTATTATTCTTAAAAAGAAGAAGAAGAAGAATCATCGCTGATTTTATGCCTTGGTCAATATTATGCAGAGATGAGTTTATTGCTGAAATGGTTGAGTTCAATGATAAGATAAGGTGTGCATAAATCATTTGAACCTTTGCATAAGCATATTGTATTCTTCTCTTCATAGATATGGTATAGCTGTGATCTAGCTGTTTGATGAATGGGTGATCATATTTTTTGTTTTCTCATATAAATCTGCAGTATTGAATGTATATCTTACCAATGACCAGTATGTAATTTTAGTTTTAATTGCCTCTATTAGTTGAGGCAAATGCCAGTATCCTTATGAAATAGTTGTCACTATTGCATCCGGTATGTAAAGATAAGCTATAAAACAAGGGTAGGGGAACCTAATAGCTAAAATATTATTTGGGGACTTAAAGGGATCGTTATTATTAGATTGTTCATTCTTTTCAACAATATTTGATGATTTGTGATTTGCTGTGAGTCAACGATTCTAATATGTTTTGGCATGTGCGCTTGTTGCTTACTCCTTGGAAATGACTTATTTATTGAATATCACTTGTTACTCAGGAAATTCCAAGAGACAATAGCTTCTGATTTTCAGTATACCGTTGGCAGTACAGCAGGTTTTTTGGCCTTTAAATTCATTCTGTTTTGTATCCTTCAATTTTTTGGATTATCTTAAAAGATGCTCCTTTTTCATTTTTTTCCATTGGTACTGATCTTAGTTAATGGCATCAGACTTTGTTGTACCTTTTTTTTAATTAAAATAGTAAAATGTATGACTTCATGACAATGCACCCCTTCTAATATAACATTTTGATCACCCCTTTATGATTCATGAGCTTTTTAAGTTAGTTACATAAATCTAAATATTTATACTTCGAATTGCTTCAACTATTTTGATGCCCAAAAGATTGTTTTCTAGAAATAGTTTATCCCAGATAAGCTTAAGCCAAAAATTTAGTCTTGACAGCTATGTCAAAAAATAAATGCTTCATATAGATTGCTCATATTGGCAATTAATTAAGAACAGAGTAGCAATGTTGGAGATAGACATTTATCTTGTGAAAAAAAAAAAACCTGTAAGGTCTTCATTGCAGAATTATGTTACAAACCAAAAAGCAAGTAGTGAGTCTCAAATTGTAATTGATCTCTCCACCTTCTGACCTCCTCCTTTTTTCCCTGTCCTCTCTTTTCATGTTATAAAAAACTAAAGGAACGTTTACTTTTGCTTCAGAGCCAGGCCATATATTTGTAAAGAAGGAAATTACTGCAATTGGTGCAAGAACTGTTGAGGATCAGTTTACCCATGTTGTTTCTCAAATAGCTAAAGAACAGGAAGAATACCTTGCAGAACAGAACATCCAAAAGCAGGTAACTAGTCTTCTGTGCACTAGAAACATTAGAAATATTACTAATAATATTCATTGTCAAAATTTGTTTAACTTGGGTTGCTGAAATTACTTGAGTGCTCATTCTTCTATAAATTTCTTCCCTCTCACAGTGAGAGCATGAGTTGGAAAGATACCTGTCAAAAGTTTTACTAGAAAATAATCTGAGAGTGATCAAGTTGTTCAAGAATCATGCAGGTTCAACTGGAGTTGGTTGACATTGAAAGGAAGGCATGTCTGATTGAGGCATTGATGCAACAAGCAAAAGCATTAGAAGAGTTGACAAGATATCCTAATCAAATTTATCTTTGGAAATACATATTGAAGCGTCACTAATTAAACATAAAGTCTTGATCAGAAAGAAGTATGATGTGAAAGAGATAATATCTTGTGCATGTTATGCTAATAAATCATACAATAATTATCTCAGAGCATTTCTCTGCATGTGACTAACCCTTCTAAGCAGAAATTTGGTTTATTGGTTTAAATACTAGCTGTTTTCTTCACTGGTTAATTTTCTACTTCGTTATAGAGAAAATGGGATTGAAAGAACAAAATATTGGAAGCCAATAACCAATAGATGTTTAAATCTTTTATTCAATTATATATTCTTAAAGCCTTAGTTATGTAAAAGATATTTATACTTTGGATCATTTCATTTCTGGAAAATATGTTTATCTGAATACAGGCCAGTTTAGGCAAAGATGTATAGATTGAATATTTGCGCTGGCTTTTATGATCTCTGCTTTTTTTTCTTGGAGGTGCTGCTCCAGCTAACATCTTTTGTGATGAAAACTAGTAGCTGTTAAATGTCTCCTTGACTGGAAATAAGCAGACTTCTGAACTGGAAAAGATATGTGCTGTCCTTGGTGAGGAGTTGCAGAAGAGATGTATATGTCCCAGTTGCCTTCTGGAAAATGTGGAGACCTTGGCTAGAGTTCTTCAGGAAAGTGAGGCAAACTGATCTGTTGTAAGTCTTTTACATGCTAACATTTCACCCACAGTGTTGATGTTATCAAATAAAACTCGCACGAGAACTTTTGGAACTATACAATAATGGAACTTGATTATATAGTATGGCCACGCCCTGAAGTCAAAATAAGGGATAAAGACATAGTACCTCCTATTCAGTGCAGAAGGTAAGAAACAATTTGCCCATAGTTTGAAGTGTTTTCCATGCCAAAATTTTATAAATATCCATTTCTGCTTCTTGTTGTCAACATTTAAATAGAAAAATGCCAATGTTCTTCTCTTTTAAAAATCTCTTATCATACTGAATGAGAGGTTACATGTATCTCAGTTCTCAATCAATGTTCAATTCTTGATCAATTTTACTTACATTTATTGAATTATAAACACTAGTTTTCGTATGTGGATCTAACTCATAACCAAGTCATTAACCCTGTCCAAAAAAAGAAAGAAAGAAGATTACGAAATAATTGTGCCTCCTCAAAGCCGGCCTGCAGTGATAATTATTAGCTGAAGGCCTGCTGAACCCACTCTCACATGGTTTATCTATAGTTTTTGCGCGTGTGTTGAAGATGCTTCTGTATCCTTTACAATCAAAGATAGCAATGTAGATTTTCCCTCTTCATCGTTTCTGCTTGTCCCCTGTGATGAAAATATGATCATGCCATGATGATGTACAATGCTTCACATTCACAAACTTAGCTCAAAACTTGCTCAACTGTTCTTTTATAAATACCAGTATTATATGTAGGAAAAACATGCTAAAGTTATCTCTGCAGTAATAAGGCCAATGTGCTATAGCGGTACAGCCTAGAGTAAGTATGAGAGAACTTACAATTTGTTCTGGGGGCATAATGTTAGGAACAATGGTGTCCTTGTCAACAAATCTTGGATTATTCATGACTTCTATATGTGTTGAGAATAGGGCAGAGACTGGCCGATGATCAGAAAACTTACTCTCACTGCGAAAGTAGGATAAAAGTTTCACTCCTTTACCATTCCACAGAATTCTATCACACCTGCGACAGACATGCATCATGGTAATAAGTTTGTCATAAATTCAAGCCTTACATATAGTGGCTACGCCCTAATTGCCTATTTTACCGATAAGAATTTGATTCTGTAAATGGTATTGACTGCACAATACCATGCTGGAGTCCTTTGTTTCTCTCCTGATCTGTTGGGAAGGCCACCTGAGTATCGATTGCAATTTGATGAAGAATACTTATATGTTGGTGCAAATTCGATGTTCCCCTCTCTCCAACCTTGAAACACACCTCCATCTTCTTGTTGCCTTCGAAGCTGATCAAATTCCTGCAGTGCTTTCCAGTCTTGCTTCTTTATCAGATTCCTAGCTGAATTGTCCCCCAAGTCTAACCTATAGTTAAGATCGCCGAACCAGAATATTTGACTGCTCCACAAAATGATAAAATTTATTTCATGAATTTGGATTTTCTGTTCAACTAATGAGCATAAACTTCATATCACTTTGTAAAGGTGTAATGTAAAAACATTTTAGAAACATACAAAGTTTTGCTGAAAACAAACTAGATACAAGAAATGTGTGGACCATTAATAAAATTTTAACATGTCAAAAATTAAATGCTCACTGAAGTCTCCTTGAAATTCAGAAACTGATAGCTATAGGACCATTTAGTAGTAGAAATTTGTTAGACTGAAGGCTGTTAAATGTGGTAAAAACTTGGATTATTGCTATCTGTAAAAAAAAAAAAAAAAAATTTCCCTCGTCTACCAAACGGAGCCTCAGAATAGTTTTGGATTCTAGGACTTTAAACTGATTATAGAGATTTAGATTACTGATTGCTATATCATTCCTCCATAGGTCAAATCTGTTGTTTGTTTGAACAATTAAGAAGGAAGAATTACTCACTCATGCCCTAAGATGGTGAGAGGGTGAGGATTGTCATCGTCTTTGGCTGACCGAGGAAAAGAAGTTCGCCTAAAAATTTCGGAGACCTGGTGATTCCTTCGACCCTCATCACCTGTCTTCTCCCCGGAAGCCAAGTGAGCAGCAATAAAGCAAAAGCTGGTTCCTTCGACTGACATGCTAACTGACACTGAACCTTTATTTCCCAGATAGCCCATGATTCCACAAGCCACTGAACTGACCTTCACGTTTGAAACACAGTATTTCCTGAGCAATTCCTTCTTCATCCATACACTTATAAAAACTCCCACCATCTTCTTGCTTGCCATTAGCTTGTACTTGCTTCCCCCGACCCCGGCCAAGGGCGGCTCCTGACGTGAAGTTCTTGACCTGATCCCTCTTATTAGAGTAGTATCACTTATGCCACTAAAACTTGCTCTTCTGTCAGAAGCAGGAATCTTCACATAATGGTAGTTGTCACTTGGGATTGGATTCAACATGGGTGTCAACCAAGGGCAACCAAAGTTTTCGTTAAGCGATCTCCCTATTAGCATGTTCCAATTTGTTGCTTCAGTCGGATCTTCTGCTCCAATCACGGTTCGAGTTTTCAACGGTACAATCTCTTGAAATCTGCAGTTTGAAAGGTTCTAATGTTTTACACTTTCTTTTGATTATATATATATATATAGCATTACATGAACAATTCCATACCCGAGAACATAGATATCAGCACCATCCTGGGGTTTTAGCCACTCATCTAAATCAACTGCTAAACTGCCTACAGGAGATCTTCCAGCAACATTCCAAGTTCCCACAAAAATTCTGAAACATGGAAAAGTGGTTAACATCTTCACCCTTTTTCCTTATCAATTTAAGCCTGGAAAACTCACCTTAACTCATTGGTTGAAGTGCATGGATCCATCTCAAACGAACTAACGTAAACATCCTCCATGAAATCATCCGCTTCATCTTCACCTCCATCTGCAACAAAAATTCAGCAGTCAAAACCAGAAACATATAGAAGCTTACAGGAAAAGAAGCAAAACCAATTATGGGTGAAAAAGGAGAAACTAAGAAAGCTTAACCTGAAAGTTCATCCAAAAAAAAAAAAAAACCTGAAAGTTCATCCAGATAGTAAGGATCTGGTTGCTTGTGCTTCCTCGTGAACCATTTCCGAAATCTCCCAGAACTTGATTTTGGGTTCTTGTCATCCATTAACAGCTCCTAAAGAAAATCATGTCTATGCCAAAATAACTGCAAGCAAATGGCAACGGTAATAACAAGCTTAGTGCAACTTGTACAACTTTCTTCCTGCTTTCTTCTTTGCCATGCTTCAGGTTTCATCGATCTCTATAATAATAATAATGAGGAAATGTAGTTTTCCCTGTTGAATATCGTTGTGTTCATCGCCTGGTAGCAAATAGATGAGCTTGAAAAGTTCAAAACAAGGAGACAAACCCACGAAGCTTAGGCATAAATCAAGCGATAATACCAATAGATTGAAGTAGAGAGAGGGACATAGAAAGAAAGTACAATGAAAAGTCAAAGCTTGGAAGGATGAGGAGAAACTTCCTTTGCCTTGTATCTTTGGGTATGTAATTTAATTTTTCTGGATCTGAAGGAACCTAAAATGAAAAAGGAAAAAAAGATAGACCTCACAAGGTGCTATCAATTTTTTCTTTTTTTTGTCCTTTGATTATTAGAGCTGGTAGGTGCTGTGGTGGTCACGTATGTCTTGTGTATTTGTTACGAGACAAGTTAATTTCCATGTCCAACTCAAAACAATCTAAGATATATAGAGTAGGGGCACACCTAAGATGTGGAAAAAATTTTACTAAAATATATTAAGCACTCCACGCATATTTGGTGACATATGCAATAAGATCCTGGAAAGGCCTCCCAAGTCCGAGTTGATTTCATTGCTTAATTATGAGCAGCTAGACCTTGTTCATCAATGATTGATTGACCCCCAGGAACAAAGAAAAGATGCATTGATGTTTTTCCATCAACTCTTATATGTAATTGGCTAGCTTTGATTGAAGTAAGGAGTAGATTCTCTTGTATTTATGTGACTTGTATATTATCCTCTGATATGGAGCTATTTTCTTATCAGATTCATTCCTTTCGTGCAGACCAATTATTGTGACAACTGATCATACGGCTGAATATATTTAAAAATATTGATGGCCATAAATAGCCTAAATTTGTTTGGTATTTCTTTAGTTTTACTAGCTTGGTTTCAATCATCCATGAATATGATGGGGAGTTCTAGACTCTCACAATCAGTCCAAAAGGACAGCAAAGGGTGATATGGCCCATATCATTTATGAGTGCCCCATCGAGCCACCTATGTGGTTGATTTGGATGTCCTCTCTTGTCAACCAAAAACCATGGTCACCATTGCTTTTCTCAAAGTCCTCACTGTCCTTTTAACTTTCACCAGCATTCATCAATGGGGAATTTCGCTCTCAGAATTGATCCAGTTGCTCAAATGCACAAGGCCCTGGAAGTAACCATCAAGGTCGACCTTAGCCCACAATATCCTTTCACTGATTTTCTTCCTTCATAGCTTTTTATGTGCCTGGATTGCTATTCAAACCAAAAACAACGTAGGATGGAAATGCATTCCTTCTTGCCCACAAAACCAACACAGGGATCAAAAAGACCCACCACAAGAAAAAAGGAGCAAGGCATAGATCGATAATCAAAGCAGTGCATAACAAGATATTGTTGTTGTTATTATTTGATTATCATAATAATTTTATGTTCTTCACTAACCATGCAAAAGTGCAGATAGTATTTATTTTTGGAGAGGAGGAAGGTATCAATTTAATAGAGTAGGGAAGAGTTATTAAATTTAGAATTTAGAATTCAGAAATAGAAAAGAAATTAACAAGGCATGGGACATATAGAGGCACAGCTTTCATAGGTTGCGACATTCCAACGAGAAGCAAATGAGATTCCGTTCTTTGTAGGTATCCGTCTATCTCAAAATCATTATGAGACTTTACCTGCCTTATTCATTGGGGGACCGTCCTAGCTTTTACTATATATATTGAAAGACAAGAATTATTAAAAATTAAAAAAATAAATCCAAAAAAAAATGACAACAAAACACAATAAAGACCTAAAAAGTAATAAGAAAAACCTCAAGAAATTAGATAATTACAAAAAATAAAAAATTTCTAATTCTAAAAATTCTTACTTTTACTGAATAATATGTTGGATTTAAC